TCGTGGACGTGGCTGCTAATATATAAATCGTTAAACGCACCGCAATCAGCCCGACGCGACGTCGACATCAGTATCGGATTAGCACGTATACGATTATCGGTGGGACATCGTACGTCGAGCAGGAGGGACATTTTAATCCGATCATACCGACAATAGGTTTGTCGAAAATTCAAACGGCCATGTAAAAATACACTTTCTCCTATTTTGTGTATACCTACATCCTGCATGCTCTTCACTTCGCGTCACGTTTTTTTAACAATCATTCTTTTGACACACCTTTGTACATGAATAATGTTACTCCCCGATTGACACGCTCCCTCCCCGTCGTCACGGCTTCTTTTTCTATCGCACATGCATAACATGTGTGTGCCATTCAAGTTAAGGACACGTCAACGATGTGATGCAAATGGTGGCTAGGAATAACGCGAATATTCATTTCTATCCGCGATTACGAAAATTCAGTCTTCCTATTTATGTTTTATCCTATTTATGTGCGTAATCAGTGATCGGCTAATCACGGTTGTTGGGTTCGAAAACATAAAAAATTGCAACTGATACAATTAAGTGATTACAGATGTGGAAAATTTCTCAAAAGATCCAAGGTTTTGTTAGACGGGTTCGTACCTGAACGATGTTCTTCATTCCGTGTACGAATCGCATGAGTGTGGATGTGCTGCGAATACACTGCTATCGATTCATAGAGTTTTAAGACAGAATCTTCAGGATTACTTGTGAATTATAATATTCTATATGTTTATTGTAGGAGGTAATGTGTGTGTGTATGTGTGTGTTAATGTTTCATTATTGACATTTACGATATAATACGTTCTGCGAATCTTTATTTTTGAAAGATCTATGAACCACAAATTAAATAGATATATATATTTGTCTTTATATTATAAAGCATTATTCTATAATATTTCTCGTTCAAAATTACTTCGAATGTATCAAACGATTCTCAACGATATCAAAAGTGCTGATATCAATGGCAGCAAGAGGATCATTCTTCGAGAATCGAAGATTGATTCTGGACCGACCTCAGCAAACACCAAGTAAGATGTAACTTTTACCTACATGTTAATTGTAAATTTCCTACTCAACAATTAAGAATGACTCACATGTGTTATATTACATTTACATTGTTGAGTAGGAAATTAAGGTAAATGTATACCAATGCCTGGACAGTCAGTGGACATGTACCTGTGTCTGGACACCTTTATCATTTTAGTTTAATTATTTAAATATTAAGTATAACGCGAATTAAAATCCAAGATAAAAATATTTTTCTTGTATTTTGACACTTTAGTTATAGTATCGAAACGTTAATTTATACTTATATTAAGGACTAAAATGACAAATACATGGGTACGTGTCCTCTGACTGTTCAGGCATTGATACCTTATACAACTAACATATAAGTTACATGTTACTTAGTGTTTACTGGGACTGCTCTACCTCCAATTTCGAGATATTTATTTCCGTCGAAAAAATCCTTGATTTAATCGGCATTGTTTTTTCTTTTCTCTTTACCACCAGAAATCGACACGTCATCGCCGTTCGATCAACAACGTGGTTGAGCGTCGCATCGGTGGATATGTAGAGATGCATTTAGACGCATTCCCGTATATATGTACCTAATAGCGCGGCGCCGCGAAACATTTGGCAGCGCTCATCGCGTATTTCTTTCTCTTGCATTTTGGCGTTACGCCCTATCTCTACGCGATTCGATTGTGTCTATCGCGCACGCGTCTCTTTTTCCAGGCGGACGTACATATACGCATTCCACACATGCGTGTGCACACACCGATGCACGTGCGTCACGCCGGGGATTATGCGACTGACGCGACGACCCGGCCATTGCGTATTGGCAATTGGCGAAGGTAGTCACGATTAACTCCGCGCATCGCACGTGTAAACCGATACCCGCCGCCAGATACGCGTAGCTGATTGATCGCCGCCAATCTTGCACGTGCGGTCCAACTCGGAGAATCCCGAATAGCCGGCTTCGCTGTCTCGCTTCGAGCATGCAGCATCCCATAGTGGGGTAGGACATTAATATCTCGATGACAAAGAGACACGCGATCTAAATATGATCTACAATTTTACGAATATATCTATAGCCAGTTATATGTAAATATAATTCGTTTTAATACGTACATATATGTTTTTTTTTTTATTAAGTTATTAAACGTTTAATGAAGTTTTGAAAGAATGAGATTTTTCAATTATTACTACGTTTACGCGAGTGTTACTTCTATAGTAACTTACGATAATTCACTCGTTTACGCGGAGTAAATTATCATAAGTTACTACAAAATCCCGTTTACGCGAAGGAAAATCCCGTTTATACGCGAAAGAATTATCGTACTTAAGTTACTACAGAAGTAACGCTCGCGTAAACGTAGTATATGCATTAGACATTTGATTGTATTGTTAACCACTTAATTTCTCAAACATAATTGACTAAGAATTTACGACTATGAAACGTGAAATTATGTGATCGGGATATAATCTTTTCAATTAGATATTTGATCATGTCATTAGACACTTAACTCGACATGAATATAAATTTAAATAGTGAGACGTTTTAAGGATTGATTACGCCACGCGGGATATATCGTCAATGATGAGTAAACAATACCGCCTATTGTTATGTTTACGCGAGCGTTACTTTTGTAGTAATTACAGTAATTATGATAATTCCTCCGCGTAAACGGGGTTTTGTAGTGACTGACGATAATTCACTGCACAGAGTGTAAACGAGTGAATTATCGTAAGTTACTGCAGAAGTAACGTTCGCGTAAACGTAGTATATGTGACGATTAGTAAAGTTTTCAGGAGAGACAAAAATCTATAAATAATATGTTTTCATGAAACTTGTTGACCCAAATCCTGTAGAATGATGATACGGAGCTAATTAAGTCAAAAAGGGTATTTGCATAAAAATGTCACATAGCCGGTATTGTTTATTCACAGACGGTATTGTGTCTGCATGAGATTGCGTGCCAAAAACGAGATGCCTGATTCTGTTCTACAATTCTTAGTTCTCTATTGTCAAATCGTAATATACGCAAGATCTTATTTATCTTCATTTCGTGTAAATAATGATCCGCATGTATTAACATCGTGTTATCAAAAGATATTTCAGAGAACCATGCACAGACTTTTATATAGATCACCTGGATTGCTAACATTTATGGAAATTCGGTCGAAAAACTGATGCTAAATGAAAATAGCAGTGGCAATCATATTTTGAATATAATCTTCTATTTATTAGATATCGTCAGATATTAATCAAGCTATTTAAATTATATCTGACGTATAGCGCGCTTACCGAAATAAATTTGGTAAAACTTCTATGTCTAATTTGCAAGCTTTTATTTCAAGTTGAAAAATTAACATAGTTAATGAAATAACGTTAAGATAGACACATGGAGGTATACATAAATACACATATAGGATGTTGAGAAATGTTTAGCGTTTTAAGAACGTATTTTTTACTACTTTTGTGCATTTGCTTTGCTATATACGTTTCTCGAATTCTTTTTTTTAACATCTTGTATACGCACGTCGTTTCTTATCTTTTCGAAAAATGACGGTTTGATTTACCTGTGTGTCACGTTCAAAAATGCTCGATCCAGGTATTTTATATAGAAGTGATCACGGAATCACACAAGCATATTATAACTAGGATGTATATTTTAATGCGATAAAGATGGTAACAATGTCGATTGGATTTCAATATTACATAGAGGGTTTTGTCTTTGTCTCTCTGTGGCGTCAAAATCTGAACTCAGCGTAGTTCCATGCGCGTTTCAATCCCTGATTAAAATTGAATGGAACGTGCCAGATTTCCATCTCGCAATATACCGTTTATTCGCGGTACTCGCATCGCAAAATGCAAACTGAATAAATCGAGTTTTATCCGGTAATTAAGGATAAAACTCAAAATAAGCTCAATGTATAATTTCGAAGAAATGCGAAAATGCATTTTACACTAGCTGCTTCCGTTGTACGAGTAAACACAGAGAAATCGTTTTATATCTATTTGCTCGTGCAACATCCTGTGTTTATCAATCGATAACTGAATTCTCACTGAAATTATATTATTTATCTGTATTATTCTTACAAAATTCGCGTTATCAAGCACGTTTTTTTTCGTACGCGTCAAAACGATATTGATTAAAGAATCCAGTGCAACGGTAGACAACTCTTTTCAGGAGAACGAAAATATCAAGTATAAATTTGAAAAAATCAAGGTAGGATTGATTTCATCAAACTCTGAACACAAAAATTCTTCGATTCTCGATAGGGAAATGGCGATTTCGAAAATGGAGAAATCGATTATAGAATAACTATTTGAAAACAAATTATATATCACAGTTAGAAAATTTGTGTATAGGTACTTTTGTGAAAAATCTGCTGGTTAAAGTTTTTGTGTTAAATAATCAACATATTCATGTGTAAATTTAACACATGTCTACTATGTTAACTAAACTTAACAAATATAAAATGTAAAATTATTAAAATAATTTACAAAATATGTTAAAGTAATACAATTTGTACGTATTTATTAAATGTGTACGTATTTATAAAATCAACATTCTGTTTGAGTTGTTAAAAAGAACATTTCTTATGTGTTAATTTCATCATAAACGTTATGTTAATTGTACACCCAATTAACTTCAAATTACATTTCTTTTTTGTTGAAATATTAACATAAAAAGAGAGAGAGAGAGAGTATTGGTGTTACCATTTAACGCATCCATATTATGTTAAATTATAACACAAAAATTTGAGTGGGCCGTTTGGGACATGTGTGATTTATGTTAAATTTAATACAAGTTTTCCAACTGTGTATGTATACACGCTGCAGGATGATGGTGCCGGCAAGGCTTAAACGCGTGATTCGAGATTCGATCCGTGTATTTCGCGCGATGGCGCGCTGCCGAGAGCCGAGGCGAAATATAAAAACCGTGCCACGTGTGCGCGTGTTACAGGCTGTAGCGAGGACGACGCAGGTGTCGTGGATACGGAGGTGGGCGGAGGTTGCGCGGGTGGAGCGCCAACCGCAGGAGGTGGAAGTGTTGCCGGCGATGGAGGTGGTGGTGGTGGCGGTAGCGGCGGTACGCGCGGGGGGCTGGGTGGTGGCGGCGACAGCGAGGGCGGATCATCCGCGAAGCAGCAGCAGCAGCAGGGTGGCGAAAGGTGCCCTCAGTGCGGCATCCCCTGTCGGGACGTCCGTGTCCTGCAGCTTCACCTCGAGGACACGCACAAAACGTCCTGTACCATCGACAAGCACGATCTCAACGCCCAGTTCTCCCAAGTGGTGAGTGATCACGATGACCCGTCAAGGACACACACTCCGCACGGGGGAGGGCCCCCCTTGTTCGCCCCCTCTTCCTCCCCCCGTGTCCCCGCGCGCGGACTTATCGATTATATCCCCGCAAAAGCGGCAGTCAGCTTTTCGGTGAGATGCGCCCGTTTTCGTCCTTCGTCGCACGCGATTTTTAGGGAGGAAGGGGGTACGAGTGCCCGTAGGGTGGTGGTAGGTTATCGTATCTTATTTTCTAAACTTTTTAATATTATTTTCTAAATTACTTTTTTAAGCAGATGGTGTGGTAGGAATATAGATGAACAACGCGTAAAGTTATATAAGTGGCGGTGTAAGGTGCGCGAGAGTGTTTAGTTTTCAAGCTGTAGTAGTAGTAGTAGTTACACAAAGTAAATAAATAGGTATACAAAAATAAATTTTTATGGATAGTTAACTTTATGTCACTTATTGCATAATTCAAGTGATATAAACATAAATGTGTGATATTTAATCTTACGATACTTTTGGTGACGATCACAACACATGTTTTACATTTTTTCTTCATTTCGTATTTCTCCTTTCTTTTTTTTAAATTGATATTTAATGTACACGGTTTTGCGAGTGATGCGAATCTTTTTTTACGGTTATGACAAAATATTTTTTGGAATTGTCTGAATCGTACGGATTTCGAATACCTATGGATGGGCTCGAATTAATTCCTCTTTTGTTGAGGTACCTTAAGTTTGAAATATCGACAGATTGCAGATTGTAATAAAGTAAATTACAAATAAAATATACGCACAATACAAATAATGCAATTAGAATAAATATATATTTCGACATATTTCTCTTAACCCTCAAAAGACTCCGTGCTTTTTGGCACCTTAAAAGTACTCCGTCGGGTCCTTTTTGCCTTTCGACTTATAAATAAATAATATTAAATATCATTCAAAAAATTCCGCAAAATTCATGGATATTCTTTGAACTTTCCTCTTTTAAGCTGTGATGTTGGTTTCTAAAAAATTTTCTTCTTTAATAGTTTTTTTTTTAGTTATTAGCATGAAGAAATTGAAAAAAAGTTATTTTTTTTTTATTTATAATAAATATAAAAAATGAGTTTCAGACTCAAAAAAATATATAAAAAGATATTCAGGATCGTATTTTTCGGGTGGACGAAAATGACCCGACGGTGTTCTTTGAGGGTTAAATTTGCCAGTGAATTGAAAAAGTAACTTCTCTTTTGAGAAATAACGTAGAAAATATTGACTGATTTTGTAACCGGTTACATATTATAGTTCTCGAAGAGAAACTTGAACATGAATGCAATGTGTGCGTCCATGATGTATTAATTAGTAAAACATTTGCTATTTGCGAGGTAAATACAGTGATCCGAAACTGATCAAATATACTATACAACAATTACCTAACTAATTCGAAGAAGCCGATGAAAACGACCTTTCAATATTAACATAATATATAAATAAATAAATATAATATCTATGATCTTGTTATAGATATCTATTCACGAATTTCAAAAAAATTGTGATAACGGTATAACTTGATCAGTTTCATAGTAAGTAATTGTATTTCGTTCGACTAATTTCTCAATAATTTGGCAGTCCTGTAAGGTGTGCAGCAAGACCTTCGCCAACGTCTATCGATTGCAGAGGCACATGATTAGCCATGATGAAAGTGCCGTTCTACGAAAGTTTAAATGTCCTCATTGCGAGAAAGCCTTCAAGTTCAAGCATCACCTTAAGGTATTTTGTTATTATAAATAGTTAATGATACAGGTATTTAATAATAACCAATATTAGTTTATTGTTTTCTATCATATTTTTTGCTTCCCATATGTTACTTTTCTTTATATTAGGTATATTCCGTTTGTCTTTATCACCGATATAACGACCTTAACCCTATTGAGTCACACTGGGTAAAATACACCCCAGCGTTTTTTGACTTCGAAAACGACCCAGTAAACCAATGGAAATGGGCCTTGTGCCGTCATCTACAGGTAGTTGGGACCTTCAAGTATCGATCCCCGTCGGTGGTATATTTTTCGGCTCGTTAGTTCTCTCTCGGCATTTTTTTCCGCAAAAAATTGCACCTTCATAACCTCAAAATCAATATACTTTTTGGAACGGCCGCATAAACTGCAATAATTAGTGAAAAGTGCGTCATCTGAGGATGAAAAAACCGTTTGAAAAATTAAAATATTTTAAAAATTGAAAAAGTTACATTAAAGTTTTTGTGAAAAGTCACTTTCGACTTGTTTTTTTCAACAATTTTTTTACATATATTAAAGTAATTTTTTGCAAATCAAACCTATACAGTCTTTTTAAGGAAGACTTAAACTACAACAGGATATTTTTTTTATTTTTTTTAAGGTCACCTACAATTTTTTATACACATGCAAACACGCTGGGGGTGTATTTCACCCAGTGTGATCGGTACGGGATTCTCGGGAAGTGTGACTCAATAGGGTTAATTACAATTTTTCTACTCTACTTCGAATTTATCTCTTTTTCTTTGCGTATTGTATGAGAGGCAACGAAAATAGAAAAAAAATAGTTTAACTTAACCCTAGAATCCATGATACATTTTTTTGACCTTCTAATCCATGACTGGGGGCAATATCGACCCCACGCTTTATTTGATCGTAAAACCGGTCCTACAGAAATAAAGGGCCTTTAAACCTACATGAATTTCTTCGTTTTTTAATAACGAAGAGAATGGTATACGGTAAATTTAATTTTACTCAAGTTTAGTTAGTGAAAAATCCATTTAAAGACTGAAAAACGCAGAAAATCAGCAAAAACCTCTTTTTTTAAACAAAAATTTGTATCTTTTTTTGTAATCAACCGATTTTAAAATTTCAAACGGGGTTTTAAAGAGGACACATTAGACTATTAGAAAAAAATTGTCATCGCTATGTTCTGTTCAAAAAGTATATTTATTTGGGACTATAAAGATGAAGAAATTCGCAAAGTTGAAATACGGAAAAAGTCGATGAAAAAACCATAAAAAATTGTATTTTAAGTATTATTTCATTTTTATTTGATACAAAATAGTAAAAAATATGAAAAAAATGAAACATTATATCGCCCAGCCATTTTCTGCGAAATGTCAATCTTCTTAGGCAACGGGATTTTTACCGACTAAATTGTGTGATATTTCGTCTTAAATAATATTTATGACTATTTATGCTCAGATTACGTAATAATACATGATATATATTGATTCTAGCGAAAAAATAAAATTAGCTTACCGTGACGAAACTCAAACGGCAAGTCACGACTGGGGTCGATATCGACCCCACGCCCGCTTTACGACTGTGCTACTTCACTGCTAGCGAACAACTAACGCTGCGCCCGACATAACCCTACTTTTAGAAAGTTGAAATGAATTATGGTTCAGGTCCTGAGTCGATAATGTCACTCGCTAGCTCAGGAGCGTAGTTCAAAGTTCGCCTGGGGTCGAAATCGACCCCAGTCATGGATTCTAGGGTTAAACACAATTTCCCGTATCTCTCGCAGGAACACCTGCGCATCCACAGCGGTGAGAAGCCATTCCAATGCAACAATTGCGGCAAGCGTTTCTCTCATTCTGGGTCGTATTCGAGCCACATGACGGCGAAGAAGTGCTTGATAATGAATCTGAAAAAGTCGAGGCAGAACACCATAAGCAATGTCGATCGGGGACAGAAGAAGGCGCATCAGGCGTTATCGGGACGACGCGACGTCGATCTACTGACAGCCAACAATAATACGTTTCTGCCGATTCTACCGAAGTTATCGCCTTCGGAGTATCAGGAGATACAAAGAGAGGGAACAGGTAATTCTATCATTTTACGTTTCTTCTTAAAATATACTTATTATATTTACGCATACGTTATGCCGAGTACTCACTAGGACCGTGCAACGTGCAACGCAACGGTTGCTGCAACTAGTGAGTACGTCTTATTCCGGAACAAATCTATTGTGAAAAAATTGTAGTACCCGGTCTTACATATCGTCTATGAATCAACAATAACCGCATATGTGTCATTTTTCTGGTAAATGCGCTTTTGCCACTTTTAGTTTCGATTGTTCCGTATCATCATTCTACAGGGAAAGGTCGTAAATGATCATACATATTATTTACAGATGAGTTTCAATGTTCACTCAAGAATGTTTATTACGTAGTTGTTGTATATTTTATTTTTTGGCACAGTTTTTTGTCTTTCCTAAAAATTGTACTAATTGTCACATACGCGGTATTGTTTATTCATTGGCGATATATACTTTCTCTTCATCTACGAATTTGATAAATGATTTCGGACAGCCGACAAGGCTTTTGTAATGAAAACATTGAGACAATGATAAATTTTTATACATGTCCCTTCTGTAATAACCGTTAAGATTCACCTGAGATCATTTTGAAATAAAAATCTTAATACCAAAATGCTAAAAAAGAGCTATAATAAATTTTTAAATGAATATTATTTTAGTTGACGAATCAAATAATCCAATTTGCGCGCTCAGGCATGGCACATGGTAACGAAAATATATATTACATAATTTTCAAGAATAGGATTGTACATAAAAATACTGTCGCTACGATGTGTTATGTCTAAAGTGAGCGAATTTGGTCGGTTAATTTGAAACACTTTTTACTTAAAAATTATTATAATAAAATAACTCCGGCGTCTGCCATGAATTATCACAATTTTTAAGTTTGAATTGTTTAATATTCAGGTATTTATGACATGCCAACCCTAGTGCCTCCCAACCTGGGATTCGGAAATTACTTGCTGCACTCTACGTTAGGCAAGCTGCTGAATCAATTCAGCGCTAGGCGATTGGACCACATTACCGAGCAATTTGAGACGCATCGGGAAGTGATGAGTCCATCGACAGCGGACTCTGAGGGAACGGAGGGCACAGAAGGCAAGGAGTCTCCCGCGCCGGTAGACCCGTTGCAGGGGCTCGATGCGGTTCGGCGAATATTAGAGACCGTAAACACCACCGTGACAAAGCAACTGCTTGAAGCGAACGTACGGAAGCTATCCACGTCTCCGGCCACGATGAAACGGGAGTTCGAAGAGGATTACCAGGTATGTAAGTGAGAGATTTAGAATCTTTTTTTATTTATAATTTAATCTGTGGACAAAGGTTTCCGATGAACTAATTCGTTATTACTGAGGTAACAATTGGCGTAAAATTTTAATTAAAAGCTAAATAATAAAGAATAAATATAATATATGACATATGAATATATGTATATTTTTAAATATATTTAATATAATTATACTCTCTTTTTAGTCAGAATAGTTTACGAATTATAACACGTTTATTAAAGATTCTAGAGATCCCTAAAAAAAATAATAATTAAATAAAAATATATCAATCAAAGAACAGATGACTAAATTTTTTTACATCGTGGGAGATACTTATTCCTGTTTGTGAATTGAAATCTTGTTTATAGGATCAAGATAGCGAAATGTCTAGTGAAATGACACATTGTCCGGACTGGGGTACAATGGACCAATACGACTCACAAAGCGAAGGTTTAGCCGCGAAGCTCGAAAATGTCAATCAACCGACATCGAGATCAGCCAAGAGAAAAGCGGAGGAAAGTTCTGAACCGGATTCGGAAGATGAAGATGAGGGCAACCAGTCTCACAACGACAACGGGTCGAGAAGAGTCAGAGCTAGGTCGCTCATAGACGATGAACAGCTTGCTGTTCTAAAAGGTTATTATGCCATCAATCCGCGGCCTAAAAAGGAGGAAATCATCATGATCGCCAATTATATTAATTTTTCCACTCGTGTCGTACAGGTACGCAAAATAAAGGGCAAATTTAATCATCTGTCTAAACTGAAAGAACTAAATTGAAGATTATACTTGTTAAAACAACTAATATTTAATAGACTTTTATGACAGTTAATTATTACTCATATATTATCATTTTATAGGTTTGGTTTCAAAATTCTCGTGCCAGGGATCGAAGAGAGTCGAAAATGCCACCAGCTCTGGTACCTTTACTACTTCCGGAGAATCCAACTATTATCGAGCAGCCCTTGGATTTGTCGAAGAAAGAAGCGCTTGTTATATCGGCGACCAAGGAAAGTGATACATCGAGTAGAAATACTTCGTCTCCGTGCGAACAGAAGGATGATATTGCAGCCCCAACTGTCGACAACGATGACCTCGAGGATTCGCCTTTGGTCATAGACGAAGAGACTGCTGCTGATTCCATTGAAGCTAAACGTACGTTTTCCAGTGGAGAAGCAATTACAAAGGTAATAACGGAAAGTAAGATTAATTGTTTTGAAATTTTATAAACAAAATGTATAATTCGCGTATTATCTTTTAGAATCAAAATCAAGCGAACGCAAAGGGCGAGAGCGAAGTTGCACCACAATCAGAAATAACCCCTACAGCAACAGAGAACGAGCAAGGTCTTTATTTCTGTGATCGGTGTGAGAAAACATTTTCCAAACACAGTTCCCTCACGAGACACAAGTATGAACATTCCGGTAAGTATATTGTTATTGTAATGTTATTGCGCGAGCTTTCGTAATTTCATGCAACGAGAATCATTAGCCAAGTCAGAAATTTAAGAGTAATTAATGGAAACATTAATTAAGTTATATGCAATGCAATATAAGAAGGTTAACGGCCAACAATATGAGCAAACGAAAACGTTGTATTGAAAAAAGATTTATAGTTATTCTCCAATAGTTAGGAAAGCATGTATTGTAAACATTTCAACTATACTAACAACAAGTCTTCTCCAGTACATATATTAGTTACATAAAATAAGATTAAAGCCAAAAAATAATAATACAGAGTGAATAAGATAACAATAAATTAAGTTACATTACCATGAAATTGATATAAGAATTTAAAATAAAAATCTTTTTTTCAATATAACGCTTTCTTTTGCTCGTATTTTTGGCCATCAACCTTCTTATATTGCACAAGATAGAATACTTTATTATTGAAATAAATGATCTTGTTTTACAGGTTTTTTTACATTAAATTCAAACTATAGCCAAACAAGATATAATTGTATCTTAATTAAAATTCACTTTAAACTGTACTTAAAATTGACAGAAAATAAAATTTTATTAATAACTATCGAAAGCTCATTAATTAGAATTAGAACTATCGATATTTTTTATTTATTTATTTAAGCTAGTCAACAAATCTTAATTAATACAGCGTGAAATCTTTTGTCCAAGGACTATCGTGTTTCCTAAAAAAATTATTATGAGCGAACACAAAAAAGATTAGTAAATGGTAAATGGCAATTGTTTCAGGGCAAAGGCCCTACAAATGTGTGGAGTGTCCAAGAGCGTTCAAGCACAAGCATCATCTGACTGAACACAAGCGGTTGCACAGCGGCGAAAAGCCCTTCCAGTGCTCCAAGTGCCTCAAGCGCTTCTCTCACTCCGGCTCCTATAGCCAACACATGAATCATCGTTATTCTTACTGCAAGCCCTACAGAGAATAGGAGTACTCCGTCTGCTCATCCGCTCGCTCGCTTACCTAGATTAGACCTTTCGCTCATAGACTTATATAGATAGACTGTGCGCTTTTGTTAGAGACGAGAAATCAGAATTAGTAGAAGAGGACAACAGAGAGTCAGATGCTTTCCTTGTGCAGTTGGTGGGAAGAAGGAAAGAGGAATAGCAATCACTTTCTTTGCTCTTAGAAGGAGATACGCATTATCCTTTTTCTCTCCAACCTCATTTTTATGGATTACCATTTACTTCACTCCTTTACTCACAACCTTTAATTCTCCAATCAGTTTCATGTAAAATTAACACATGAGGCGAAGATCAGGATCGACCATGGAATCCGCCTATTATTCGAGCATATAGAGTTATGTGTTATCCTCTTATCTCTTATTTTAACATTTTCTTACATTATCTTTTCTCCGGGCATTGTGTGACAGAGAGAGCATGTGACCACGTGTATCTCTGTCCTTCAATGTTATCAGCTGTTGTACAAGAACGCACAGTCTCCCAGATAATCAAATCTATCTAGAATAGATTTTGCAAAGTGTCTGCTATAAATTTTGTTAATAGAGTGCCAACAGAAACCGAGCAAAATCTTCGATCATCTCCCTCCTCACAATCTCTGTTTTGCTCAACTTACCCTTTCTCTGTTGTCTCCCAAAAACATGTTAACTTTTATCCTCAATCCACCATTTCTCCTTCGAATTCCTCTCTTTTGTCTAATCCATTTCCTAATTCTGTTCCTCTTCCTCTTCCTCCCTCCTCTCTTTAATTATTTATTTCCTTCCTGTTGAGCCAGAGTAATGGTCGAAGTCGACCTTATCTCCCACCTTCATTCTCGCCACTTTATCTCCATTTGCCGCAGTATTCTGTTCGAATCTGCTGCTAGCAAATTACAGCAAATGGGATAACACATACGATTCACATTTTGCTCTTATTAGGATATATTTCATTTAAATGATCACAAAACGATTTTGCTCGGTATCTGTTATCAGATTATTTCTGCAGGCTCTGCTGGCAGAACGCGAGCTTAAGGCGCACGCCAGTACGTCGCTACGGTATTCTGCTCGGTAATTTGCTGGCACGTTGCTAGCATATCGCTGACATTTTGCTTACTGGTAATCTATATAAGACTATGCTTTCTTCTTACATTTAGAATTTTCCTCTTTTATGTGTGAGTTTGTCCTTCGAGGACCTTTTTTCGTGAGAAAACGCTAGAACGCCTTTATACCCTCCTCTCGCGGTATGAACTTTAAGGGACGCCGCGATGTTTCGTGAAGCTATAAGTATAATATATATATATATCTAAGATGCTGCGCGACATCACATTATAAAGCCATGGCGTTATTGCTCGTCGGTTCGTACTTCAAAAAGAAAAAAAAAGTAAAATATGAAAAAACGGTTTTAGGCGATGCAATTCGGAGAAGTTAAATGTCAAAATGAACGCTAGATCTCGCAAATGAGATGTATCGTTTCATCTTGTATCGTCTGAACCGGCTTTAGAGATTGTACTAATTTTATTTTAGGACTTGACTTGAGAAAAAAAAATGACCGGTGAATACAAACGAAAAAGAAAATTACTCGCGGCAAGCGCGTCGACAAATAAGCCAAACGCATGTAACAGTACCAAAAAGCATAATGCAATAATCTATTATATATATATAATATAATATACATAATATTTTAGTATTTTTATTGACAAAATATTATATATACCATGACAATAATAAGGAAACTAATTAATGTACAAATTTGTTAGCTACGTCCGCGAGGAGCGCGATGTCCATTCAAAAAAGAAAAAAAAATGATACACGAGCTAGATTCGACGATAGAAAAAAAAGTTTTAAACAATTAATCTCCGCGCAAAGCGATGTATCGCGCATTTCGCTAAATATTTTCGAAAACTCAGGTTTTAACGATAATTTGAATATAAGAATGGAGATCGCGCATAGTGTATAACGAGTACTCGTTCTACGCGAGTAAAGATGGATATATTGAGTTTACCGAATCAAATATGTCTGGGGTACAGCTGTTAATTGAGCTTAACATTAAGGAATTTTGTCGATTGTAAAGACGGAGATTAGAATCTCATGTTCCACTTCCTTACAATGAATAACTTTACTCGAAGAAAGCAGGCTATATTATTATATTATTATTCTACATTATTATATATGTATAGAACGGAGGAAAAAGAGGAAAGAGAGAAAGAGAGCGAAATGGACGAGTTTTGAATTTAAGGGCCATGCGGGTCGGTGATCGATGTCATGCGAGATCTTCTTTTTTTGCTATTGTACTTACAAGTTGATGACGCGTTATTTCTACAATGCACAACGTGATTGTTCGAAGAATTGTTCGAGACGATGAGAAATACGTAGTACGTCGTGAAATGCGTTACACATTCCGCGAGGATCCGTTTCTCAGGGCCTCCTCCATTTTATTTATCACTTTTTTTTTCTTTTGCAACGAATAGCACTGCGAATGGCACCTTTCATCAGAACCCTGACCTCGTTCTTGCCGGATAGCAGAAACACGCGTGCGTTTCGCGTGGCGAAGATTAGTAGTTCGGAAACTAGATTTCGATGTGACACGAATGTAACGCAGAAATATCCGAAAGAAACGTATCCAAAAGACGTCGAAAGGATGCCCGAAGCGTACGGCTGTCCTTGGCGCCTTTTGTTACGTTCGCTTTTTTTGTGGAAAGGTGCGGCGCGAAGAGACACGCGAAAACGTGCACCGAAAAACCTCGCAATAATCTCTTCACCGAAATCCGAGGCCCGAAAAATAACCGTAACACCTAAGTATGATATTAAATGCTTCCAATATTGTACTATTAAAATTATTATATTACGACGTTTATATGATTTTATTCGTTCGAACGGCGTAGGGAGATAAGGACGTATATTATATATATATACTCTACAGATTGATAATACTCGAGAATGTATTTTATAACAGTTTATGCGTCTTTTTATTTACACGAGTACTACAAGTGATAAGTGATATTGTTATTGATAAAGAAAAAAAGAAAATAACGGGGAAGAAAGATATGAGATACAGATATTACCGTATTATTGAAATTTTGTGCCAGTGTGTGCGTGTTGTGTGCGTATGTGTGCGTGTATGCGGCATACGGCAAACCGGTACGTTACGGTTGTACTTCCTCGACGTTTCGTGCGTGTAGAAGCTTCGGTTATCCGCGATAGGCATCGTGTTTACCACTACCACTATGCGAAAAGAAAAAAAAAAGGAAAGAAAGGTAAAATATTGTGCAGATATAATGCTTATAATACTCATTTATTATAGTGTTAACAATTAAGAAATATATTTTTATATAATTATAATGTAATATTATATACGCGGACGCACGCGTGACATAGTACACTAACTCGATCGAGCGGCGGATGACTCCGGCCGCGGCGGATCTCTTCCTTACATCCAGCACTGGCGCGTATAGAATTGTCGTAATTTCTTCTTATCGACGCGGACCGTTCTCGCTCGTTCCCGTTCGGGTTTTCTTTTTCTACAATCCGCAATCCGCAACAAGTGATTCTCAATCGCATTTCATTTAGTTACAAGCGACAAGTCGTTCCTAACTGTATCCACTAACTCAGCAGTAACTCAGCACGCGTTCTTTCCGTATTTTTTATTTCTCGATGTTTTCCTATCTTTCTTTTTTTTTTTTTTTTTTTTAATTTTGCATTGTAAGCTTTACTTTCTCCGGAGAGCAAGAAAAATAGGGTATCTCTTTGCCTGTAATTGTTACGTCTCGTTTCTCTTGGATTAGGGATTTGATAAATGTTCAAGTCATTCTATTTGCACCGAAAATTGAAGGTGATATGATTTCGATGAGTTCGACAAAGAGTTTTGAGCTCAATGAAACTGTGTCGCTTCCCTAATTGATGTCTTAATTTTTTTAATATAACTTCACGACCAACAACGGGTTAGGACATCAGGAAAGGCAGAAAACTTACGAAGACAATATTATATACGTATAGATAATATAAATATATATATAAAGTATATATTATATATTTCCTCTGATTCGGGAGCTTTTGCGACCCGCTTGCCTCAATATATGTACGTACTACTAAATAACGAAAAGAAAAAAAAGTTACAGCGTAATGTAAATCGCGCCAGCTTTTGTGCATCGACATTATCTCCCGAATAACGAACAATAACGAGATAAAATTAAAAAAAAAGACAAGACAGCGAAGATAATAACTATAGAGACAGAAATAAAATAAGTGAGGGAAAGGAAAAGATGAAGAGCGATGAAAATTGTTAATGATTGTTGAAGCAACGATTTAATAAGCACCATACGATGCCTTCCGTGAACGACCGAGCTTGCCTAGTTGCCAAGATAAACGAAAAAAAAATTACATAAATGTTAGCGCGACACTGTCGTCGAGAGCCGAATCACCTTCACGATCCTCCTTGATTTATACGAATTATATACGTGCCATCCTCGGTTATTCTCGTTGTTTAAATCGGCAATCGCAGCGAATGAAATTCGTGATAAGTATAACAGAGCGAAAGATAACAGCGCTCTCCTGTCCCACTCCCTGTTCTCTGCGAAGCAGATCGTTGGATCGATTATACAAGGAGTATCGCGAAGCGCACGGATTTTCTGACTTATTGTACTCAATGAATACTACATGGTCACGCCATTGAGCTTTTCATTGACTTATTATATTATATGAATACTAAAAAATGTGAATTGTATATATACTATATATATATATGAATACTCGGAAACAAAAAATACCGCTGACAATAATGTAACGTTTCTTTTTAGAGATTAGACGGCGTAAGCGCATATTACACCATAGTATATATAAATATATTATATATATATAAATATTGTAGACGTAAAAAGATAAATTTACTATATAAATTGGCGTATATACATATATATATATATTATATACACAATGGTGTATATACTATATATTAGATACATATATACATACAATTACATTTAATTGACAGGAATAGCGATGTGGATATTATTGTAATAAGACGAAGTGTGTGAACGTAACTCGAACGAGAGAAAAAGGCGAGAAAGGGACAACCTGAAGGCTTATCTTTGACGATGTAGTGCCCGTTGCGCAAGCTCCGAGCGATGTAATTTTATATAATTAATTCGTAAATGTAAATCTTTAAGACGCTCCGCGAAAAATTCCGCAGAACTCAACTCCACTTATCTGGGATATCAATCTGGGAGACCAATTTATTTAAAACACGTCGTATCAAAGATCTCTCGCAGTTTTGATTATTTTTTTCACAGATCGAGATAGGTCGTAAATTACTATATCGAAGCACGTAACTAGAATTATTTTTGCATAGCATGGCAAGAATTTAAATGTTTGTGCCAGTTATAAAAAGAAATTTATTATACAACGATTTTTATATAAAAAATAATTACTGATAGGGTACATATATAAATTATTCTCAAAGATTATTTTGAGGAACTTTAGCTTTATATTTTGGCTTTATATTTTTTGTAATAAATCAAATTAATATACTTACATTTATGTGCTTTATTTTTTAATTTAAATAGGATAAACAGCGCAAAATTGAATCAAAAATTCAACAATATTTAAACAATATTTATGTGTGCGTGTAAAGTTTTTTTAATTCCTTTTTCATAAATTTGCACTGTAATTTTTTATGAAATACTTAATGCGAAATAAGTGAAACATGTATCTGTAAAAGGTAAATTTTACTTATTTAAATCAATTTTATTACTTAAAATTATTCTCTGATAAAAGTAATCATCTTTGCCAATAGTTACGCTTTTGGATTTATTCATGCATACAATAATATTGTAATAAAAATATTTTCGCCTTTCTTGATAATTATTGTGTCCAAAATAATCCGGCATGGGAGGAAAGATAGAGAGATGTTTGAAGCGAGAAATCTTTCATTCTTTTCATGACCGAATAAATATCTTTATTGTTCCTTATAAGAGGAACTAAAGTTATACTTGTATTAATCTAATGATTCTAATGAAAGACGATCCTAATTTGATCGTCGGCAATGGGCATTCGAGATAGATGTGTAGTGATACACAAATTAATTAATATAAATAAATAAATAAATGAAATTATAAATAAATTAATATTTATCGACACGGGGAGATTCTTGCGCTGCGTTCGCACTACGTTGTTAACTTACGCGGCACTAACAATTCAACGGGCCGAAACCGCCGTAAGGCCCATGGGACGACGGTGGGGAAAGAGAGGAAATAAAGAAAAATAATTGTATTGTGACACGAAGTTCCATCCATAATAAATAAATGAAAATATTATACAGTTAGGCCGACTTTTCCGCCAGTTCGTGCCTTTATTCTGCAGGGAGAAAGAGAGAGAGAGAGAGCGAGAGAGAATGCAGTTTTGAAATCCGATAATCTAATAATAACGTGCTACGATGTAATCGCGCGATAATAAGAGAAAGCGAGAAAGAGAGTGTGTGTTTGAGTGAGAGTGAGAAAGAGAGAGAGAGAGAAAGCGCGAAAGAGTAAACTAGCCAGTTTAAAGAATAAAGATAAGAAAAGTAAAATGATAGGAAAACGAGGAAACAGTGAGCGAAACTGGGAGCATGGAAACCGATGCGCAGAAAGAACGATTGAGAAGAAACTGCTTACTATAAACGAAAGAAAGAATAAAAAGACACCGGATTATTGCATAATATATATTTTCGGAGAAACGCTGCGACACCCGTATTCTTTCGATTAAAAAAAGAACGTAATAAAAAAGCGGGAAAGCCGATAAACGGGGAAAGAGGAAAGATGTGCGAGCGAGAGAGAGAAAAAAAAACGAAAAGAGAGAAATAGAGCGGAGAGAATGTGAAGTGGAGAGAAAAACTATAGCAATTGTTGAACATTCGTTAAATTGTCCTCGTTTCACGATGTAATAAAGGCTATTTTACTTTGACGCCCCGCTGTGTTTCTTGTGTGATCGATGACCCTGGGAGGGAAATTCGGGATGCGCAAATCACATAATTTCCATATAATCGACTGAAATTCGAGGTAAAGACGTTCGTAGAACGTATAACGTAATAAATGGCATATATTATATATTTGTTTGACGACGTGACGTCAGAATAAAAGCGAAAAAAATTCAGAGCCTGTATATGTAACAAAACATTATACTTTTATTCTTATTAATATCACATTTACATCTTCCCTGAGGATCAACGCTTTGTGACCCGATCCCAAGTATAGTTTGTACATAAAAATAGTAAAAAATTTGCAACATTTTTTTTTGTCGGAGTGCAGCGGTGATCCCACTTCCAAATATAAGAAAATTAGTCAACAATAGTAGAACTAAGTCCGTTTAATTTTTTAAGTCAGTTTAATTTTTGATAGTTTTCAAGAAAGTAGATTAATAAACTTAAAGATGAGAATCTCCAATTTAGATTAAATTTTTGAAAAAGGTGACCCGAATTGCTGGTACCTGAATTCTCCGATCTTAGTATTTATATACATTTATTCATAAATTAAATCACAGCTTATAATTTGTAAAAATAACAGACTTGGATCGCAATGTGTTAACGCGCGTTTAACAATAACAATTCGTGACTAACATATTACATTGCTAGTTTTAGACATTGAATATCGGCCGCGTCGCCCTTGTATCTGTTTAGCTGCCGCAATAAGTGTAACTTCGGTTGTTTACAGTGTGTCGTATGCAGTTCGTATGACGTACACATGTTTAATAAGATCGGCTCTTGCAGACTCTTGAGTGGATTTCTATTGACAACGCTCTCGTACAGCCATACAGCCGCTTTCAGCTGACCAGTGTACAACAAACACACCGCCATGTTATTGATCAACATTACGTTGGACGGATCCATCGTCGACGCGGACTGGAAGCAGTTGTAGGCCTCTTGAAAGGCGTTCTGCGCGACCGCCATTAGGCCGCTATCCACCAGCTCCCTGACGTTCGTTGCCTTCTCTTCCTTATTAGCGCGAACAAGATACTTCTCCGCCGCTGTAACGTCGCCGAGGAACAAATGTACCCTTCCTATAGCCGACTTTAAGATACCTATCTGCTCCGTGCTCCAATCTGGCAGCTTGCACAGATCCTCCAGGATCTCTATCGCGAGAATGTAGTTTCTCATGCCGATGGCGCAGTTGACGACAGAGACCAGGATTCTAGATTTCCTGGCAGTCCACAGTTTCACAGCATCCTGCTGATCGGATTCGCTGATCCTCGCGTGCGTCCCCTCGCCGCTGAGACCAGCTCGGAAATTAGCTATAATCTGGTTAACAGTCGCCAATAATTTGTATAAATTTTCTAACGTTTGTTTCGGTTTACCATAGTAAGACGGGATTTCCGCCAGCAATAATCTGAATGCAAACGACGCCATGGAGCCTGGCCTGGTGCCATACAATTCCGGGTAAAAAGTGAAGTACATGTCAGGTTTGTCTAAATTGCCAAACGGCTTCGACTCGCTTTCCAGGACATCTATCTGTCGCAGCTTGGCCAACAGTGACAGTCTCGTATACCAGAGCTGCAGCGAATGGGGCGTGTGCTTGCTGGGCTGATTAATCTTGCCGTAGCCCTGAGCATAGATAGCCAGCAACCTACCGGACAGATTGACTGCCGCTCGATAGCAGCCGGCCTGTATCAGATTCCTCAAACCGCGCTCGTCCTGCGTCACGTCGGACACCGTGAGCACGTTCCGGTGGATGTTCTCGTCCTCGCCTAGGAAGTGAATAGAGGCGTTCTTGATCAAGTCGGGCATGTCACCCTGTACAGCCAGTCCGGGCATAGTGAGATTCTCACGATCCAAGTGACTCGCGCCAGTCGCAGTGGTTGCGATGGATCGTAATATCTTTCGCGTATGCTCCGACGGTATCCACGTGTCTCTGTAGGCATCGTTCAGCGCGCTGTGCTCAACCCGATCAACCGCAGAGTCTAACAGCGAGGTCGTGGACGCGCGCAGAGAATCCGCGTCGAAGGCGCTTGATGACCCGCCGTCGGATAAGGGATCGTAATTGGAGACTCGACTCGCAGTCGATTGCATGTCGAATAAAGGCTTCTGAAATGCGACGATTTCGTCGAAGATCGTGGGCGGCGCGCTGTTCAAATAACGACTGACGTCCACGCTGCTCTCCGTGTTCCCATCTTTTGACTTGATGACGTTATTTTCTGCCATTTCTCTTTTAAATTAGATTATCTTATTCCAAGTGTCGGATTTGCTACCTGGTGAATATAAATTAACAATTTCTCAAGAACCATTGTTATTTTAATAAAAAAATGTATTAGATTATGCTTCGGACAGTTGCCAAATTTGAGGCTTTCCTTCCTTTCTTTTTCTCTATTTCTGTAGCTTAGAGGTAAAGAATCATATCTCCATTATTATGAATTCCGAGAAAACAAGGTTTAAAAGTTTTAAATAGGGAAATGTAGGGAATACATTCTTTTAGATGTAAAATAAAAGTAGCAGCTTGATTCATTAAGTTTTTAATAAAGTAATTTAACTGACATAATAGTACATAAGTACAACTGCCAATAACATGCTGGCATTTGGTTTAAAAGTTGGGCACTATAAAAATTTTCATTATGACTTTTTCTGAACATTGTATCTTAGGAACTAGTAATACTTTTTCTAAACATTGTATCTTATGTGGGGTCATTTCTATATGGATATAGAAGAATTTTATATATAAATTTTAAAACTTTTTTTTTAATTGTATAATAAACTTAAGCCATTATACAATTTAAGCTTCTGTTATATTGAAAAATGTATTAACTCCATTTTAACAAAAACTGCAGATACAATTCCTCACCTCTAAGGTACAGATTTATATAGACTCTTGTTTTCTCTTATCTTAATATCCTATTTTACCTTTCGCAGAAATTTCAAAAATTTTTGTAGTGGATGATATCTCGTAACATCACGGTTAAATTGTCGGAACTTTTTCGGTACTATTTTGACAACAAATTTATCTTCGACGTTAACCTCCCAATTGAGGTTATGTCCGCCAAATTCCTATCTGTGCCGTGTGCGTCACCTGTCATTAAAGATCATTAAGTTCCATTTACACGATTATCAATAAAATGAAATAGGCGCGTTTCTATGTGGAAAGGAGTGTCAGTGCGTGAAGATATACGAACGTGGCAGTTTCTTGACTTTGTATCACACAATTCTGGTGTATTTAAGGCGCTCAATGGTGCGAGGTTACGCTAGGTTGCATTTAAATATCATTTAAAATCTTTTTAAATCATAAATTATTTGAAATATTTCTGTTCAATGTCCGAACAGGAGCTATAATCCTCGACAAAGCCCGCGGGAGCGGTGATGAGCGACGTTACGCCGCGCGAGGAAGCTTGAGGTACGTCGTCGCGCGGAACCTGGCCTGGCGCGGCGGATTGAAATTTGAAGGTTAACCGGCGTGCGAAGGTAAAGGTTAACCGGCTTCTACGAGCACGATGATCGAGACGGACAAGAAGGGCTGCCGGGAACTGCTGATGCGGCGGATGACCTTGGCCGTCATCACGAGTGTATTGCTGCAACTGTTTCTCGTCTGTTGCCTCGTCCTGCTCACGAATGCGAGCACGGACTTTGCGCGTTGGTTCGACGAGACGTGGAGCACCGTGATGTCGCCACGGATGTGGGTTTACTTCATCGTCCTCGCCATGGTGACAGTCCTGCAGGGTTTTCTCTGCAGCAAGAGTTACCTGCATCCTCCGCCGTACTACAAGAGCAGATTTGTCAAGCTGTGTATGACCCTCATGATTCAGAGCTTGCTTCTGCGAGCGTTATATATTGTTATCGGTGGTATTCTGGTCTGGCTACACTTGTCGTTGAAGAGAGGAAGCTACAGCTCGACTGCAGACTGCAGCGTCATACGTGGAACGTGCACGATGGAAGAGTACTATTTCCTGCTGTTCAGCGGCTTGTGGAGTGGATTATACTTTTCAATCAAGACTGGCGATTCTGCTAGGAAATATTTCCGATTTCCTATTATAGCGCAATCTAAATTCTTCCAACTGAGACAAAGAATTTACACCATGTTCCCGACATTGATAATTTCCTCCATGTGGTCAACTCTGTATTATATGGCTGTTTATTATTTCATGGGTTCGTATTACCGTGAAGCATTGTTATCTATGATTTCTATGCAGGTAGAAGTCAAGCCTTTGGACACTGTGGCTAAATTGCTAAATCTGTCACTGATATTGCAACTGTGGCTTCATCAATTTATATTCATATTGATTATCAGCAGTACGCACACGATATTTGAAATATACCTGACCGAATGGGCGCCATTTAAATTTGGCTTGAGTGGCGCGTACACTCCTGATAGTTCAGAAATGACTCTTATTGATGTACTATCAATGGACAAGATACCGATAATGCAGCACTTGGGTTACTTGGACCTGGTCACCTTAGCCCAAAAGGAGAAAATGAGAAGGGGTACATTGTTCACGCTCAGTCAGCCGGGTGGTCATCCATACAACTGGAACTGTGTGGTGCAAAAGTGTACAGATCTTCTCAAAAAGTTCTCGTCGGACCTCAATGCAATATCTGCAAAATCTCAAGATCAAACAACCTGTTACAGCACGTTGACAGCAAGATTACCACCAGGTCAGCAAAGCCAATATATGTACCACATGCGGAAATTAGTACCGGACGTAGCACCAACGTTAATAGCGGAAGCAGATGCAAGGGAAGCTCCTTACAGCGGTTCGTTTATTCAAAAGTTTTTGAAGCAGAAAAAAGAAGCTGTTGTAACTTATTTATTTTCTAAGCCACTCATCAGTTACATCTTTGGCGAGCAAGATGACAATAAGATTCGTTATGCTTTACACAACGGGCAAATGGTGATTTGGGCAGCCGAAGCAATTTCATCTTTAACCGTCTTTTCGTTGAGTGAAGATTCTTATGGTATTGTACAAAAGGATGTGCCAATCATCATCAACACTCTGCTGTCAGTGAAGCAGGCTCTGGACAAACTTCAAAAGTCAGCTGTGTTAGCAAGAAAAATGCAAGCGGATGATAAATTGATTAGGGAGGTTTTTACGTCTTTACGAAGTGCGATCAAGCGTAGTCTATATAGAATTGTTACAAACTTTGAATCGTATATCAAGGACTTGTCTCTTGAACCTTCGACGCTAGAACAATTGCACGGGTTTCTTTATTATAAGGAATAATTATAAATATTTATATTGTCACAAAGTGAACGTATGTGATCCATCGGATTTTGAATCTGACAAAAAAACATTGCATTTTAAGTTTCTTGCGATTGAACGACTACTTTTTTCAATGATCATCTATGTATTAAGTTTATGTATAAGTTTATTAATAGTTATGTAAAAATATTAACGCAACATATTTTTCAATATTATAATACTTTATTTTATAAGATATCAGTGTGTAGATAATTCTATTTGCTTCGTCAATAGCACATTCCCAACTAAACGATCGCATGTAACATTAATCGTAATGATATTGGAATTAAATCTCCAATATACATGAAAGCAACAAAAGGATAATTCATTCGAAATGTAAAACAGTATCAGTTTATTGACTATCCATGGTTTACTGTTTTGTTAAAGAAATTATTATGTACACTTGTTTATCAAATTGTTAAACCAATCATCACACAAATGGCATATCTGATACTATAATGTGATATTATTTTGTTACTATTATTAACGAGATATAAATTTTCGACACTATGTAACGGAAATCGACTTATTTTGTAAGGTTGAAATCTGAGCTTGTTCGTAAATTGCAAGCGGCATAAGATTGCGAAATTCTTCTTACGTTCTAGGAACAACTCGCTGCATTTATATTTTATAATTGATGCAATTAGGATTATTAATGAAACGGAAAAGTGTTGAAACAATACGTGATGCTTGGCTAGTTTCAACATGCGATCGCTTGTGCTTCCAGGCTTCCGCGGAATATTTCTAATTTTCAAAATCGAGCATAAATTTTTTGATTGTGCGTGCCAAGTTCGCAACGTATTGTTTAAAAATTTCAGATAACTCATGCCTTTACTACGCAGGGCCTCCGCAACCGCCTAAAGTACTTTTCTAGAAATAAGCGAAAAAATTGTTACAATGTATAGTGTATAAAATAAATGGAAAAGTCAGTAATACAAACCTTTTTATGAGTGTTACTTAGTTTATTCTTTTCTTGACTGAAAGATGTTTCATTTTTTCGAAAGACTGCTGATCGACGAATGTCTAGGTAACTTTATTTTTTAATTCATGCGTGCAATCAAACATGCCTATTTTAATTTTTGAAAATATATGAAACTTGGATTTATTTACTCTATGGTGACTTGTTAATTATTAAATATTTACACGATATAAAAATGTATTGTTTTACATTTTCTTAAAACTTTGTACAACACTTAGATTATAAAATAATTTCTCTCGTACTGTAAGCCAATTTCTCGTCTGTGCCTTTTGGATTTTCCGTAGATACTTTCGTAACGTATCGTTCTCCGAGATTGCTGTACCATGCCACTTTAAGAAGACTGCCAAATACGCTTGCGACAATTCAAAATCCGTCTGTCGTTCCATCATGTAATGAAGCATCTTCATAAACTGCAGCATTGACGATTCGGCGGAACTCTCGTCCAAAGACAATGATTGAATTTCGAAATCAATGTTGCTAGGACCCATTGCCTTTAATTTCTCTATCACATCCGAAAAATTGTTGGTATCTGATTGAAGCAAACTCTTGTTAAACGAAGTAAGATTTTGTAAAAGCGGATGAACACTGGCAGTATCATTGGTGTTTTCATTGCTTTTAACGTCCGTGAAATCAAAGCGCAGTTGCAACGACGCAACCGTAGGCAAGAAGAACGGTGCGGTCTCTGGAACTTTAGGCGGTTGCCTCGGCTTGTTTCTCCTTTTAATGATATCGATATCGAGTATATTCTGCCATCTAGATTGAGCTACGGCGGACATGGTTATAAGATCGCTATCGAGCTGATCGGGAGACACGTAATCTGGCTCTTCGGCAACGACATCATCTTCATCGACTTTCTCGGCTTCTACGGAAGATCCAGGAAGTCCTACTTCGGGTATCATATCGTCTTTGCTAATGGCCTTTAACGACACGTGTGAATAGAGCATACGATTCGACCACAAGAAGATCCCTACATTACGTACATGCGCGGTCGCAAGAAATTCTGCCGTCGGAGAGAAACTTAAAGATATACAAGCTTCAGGTACCTGCAAGTACACGAGATGTATTATTAATATAATATTTTTCAATGTATTCTTTTCTAGTTCAAATATAAAGGTCCAAACAATATTTAGAGAAGTAAGTGAAGAAGCGTGAAGTAAATGGTAACCCAATTTAAAAATCCTCCTATTACTTATCTATTTATTTATATAATTCTGATAATAAATTCACCTGAAAAATATCTATCAAGTGTGATGATGGTATGTCCCAAGTACGGATTGTGCAGTCCATAGATGCTGTGATTAACCACCTAGAGTCAGGATTGAAACACGCATCCATTACTCGTCCCTCGTGCCCTTGAAAATGCCGAACTATCCTCTTTGTATCCAGATCCATTAACACAACATCGAAATTTTCTAAGGCTATAGCCACAAGGGAACTCTCATTGTGATATCGTATCCATTCGATTGACTCTTCCAGTGTCAATGTCGTTCTTGCTGTAGTTATACCTGAGAAAGGATCACATTAAAATATCATAATTTAGACGGAAAAAAAAGGAAAAATAATCTCTTACGGCGCAAGTACCTTTCTTTGGTTTAAAATCCCAAAACTTAATTTTTGCGTCTCTGCCAGCCGTAATAAGAGTTTGATTCAAATCGTCAACCATGACGCCCTTAACGGGACCTTCGTGAGCGCCATTCTCGCTTCCATAGGACGCTCTGTGGATCCCCGATTGAATGTTGAATCTATCAACGTGTCCCGTACTGTAACCGATCACGACAAAGTTTCCACATCTCGTTAAACATAAGCTGGTCGCGCTAGCATTGTAATTGTTTTTGAATCTTTCAGGAAGCAACTTAAGATCGCCCATCTTTTGGAGATGAGACGACCACGTAGTGACCATCCCTAAACCGGAATGAGTAGCCGCTATGTTGCACCATTCCTTTTCCCGCGTCACTTCGGCTGCGAGCTCGGTTATTGGCGGCATCAACAACGGATCGTCGACCGAGTGACTCTTTTTCTTGGAGGCTTTTCTGTTAAACGAGGCTCTACCCAGGCTTTTGTTCAATATCTCCGTGACGGTCGAGAACAGCCGGAGTGAAGAATCGCCGCCCGTGGTCAACAGATAATTACCATCGTTTCCATAAAACCGAACGATCGTCGGAGGCTCAGCGTGACCTTCTCTGATTCTCAAGAGCCTGCCCGCTCCGTCGGCCATATCAAATATCCATAGCTTGAGAGAATTGTCAGGCGAAGACGAAACCAACAACGGCTCATTCGGTATGTATCTGAGACCCGTGACAGCAGCGTTGTGGGCATTACACAGCTGGCTCTCCACCATGCGTTGTTCCAAGTTCCAGAATACTATCTGGCCACCTAGACTGCCCGTCGCCATGATGGGATGGCCATCCGTACGAAAGCTGATGGATATCACCGGGCCCCAGTCCTGTACAAGCTCGAAGATGGTCTCGTCGTACTTGAGATTGTGCAGAATAATATGGCCGTTGTTCAAACCTATGGCAGCCACGTCTATCGCTGGCGCTTGCTCCAACGCCGTCACGTTACTCTGCCATCCCTGGAACGTGTAGACCATCTTGCTCAGTTTAATGTTCCACAGCTGCAGCTGGCCCTGCTCGCTGCCGAGCAGGATCTTGTTCATGTAGGTATTGGGATGCATCAGTGTAGTTATCCTGAAAACATTGTTGCTGAAGTTCAACTCCAGCAGCAGGCTCTCCTCCTTGATGTCCCAGACCTTCAGGGTGCTGCTCTCGTCGACGGAGATCAAGTGCGCGCCGAACGGCAGGAGAATGTGGACCGCGCACTCGTGACCCACGTAGGTGTGCTTCAATTCGGTTCCCCTGCGCCATGCGTAAACGTTGTTCGCGCTGGCCGTGTACACGTGAAACGTGTCCGTGGCCAGGCAGGTGATATCGTCCGCGTGGGTGCCCGAGACGCTCAGCAGGGTGAAATGTTTACATCCGTAAGTGTGGAATTCCTTGCCCACGCACGTGACGACGAGGTGCTCCTTCCTCCGGAGGATGTACCTCGTGACAAGCGGCACATGGTTGCTGACGTAGCCGAGCGCGCGATTTCGCGCGAATATCCTGCTCTGCACCATCGTGTATTACGAGAGAATTTTTCTTTTTTTTTTTTTTTGGAGTTCTCTCGGCTGAGAGAAATTAGTGCCTTCGGCCCCACACTGGAACCATACGACACAATGATTAACCTGTGTTGTGTGTGTATCCTCTTATTCAAATGATGATCCTTCCTATCCTTTTAATATAACTATATATGCTTCTAATTATGATCCATTCCTTTCTTCTGAGTACGAGAGAGAATCGAAAATTGAAAGGTTACAATGATTACAATACACACATCATGCTTCTCGCGGCGTGACCAAGGGGGCGGCCATATTTGAAATCACGACTTGTGCGTTGTGCGACGATAAACGCGCGTTTCAAGATTCCGTAACGTAGCGCGACGAATCAGGACGAAAGATCTGGACAAAATTGTCCGCATTGGCGTGTGGAGCCAATCAGAGAGCCTATCATATGCTCATGTTCAACTGGGAATCGTGGATCGAGGGATCTAATTGAAAATTACAATTTAACCTTTAACCAATCGAATGAAAACGGAGAAAAGCGCTATATAACCCAAAGGCAGGGTTGAAGGCGCTTTGCTCCTTCCCAAAGGAGCAGAAACCAAAAAAAAAAAATGAAAACGGAGTAAGATTGAGGTTATTGAATTGGTCGATTTTCCAAATCGCAATCTTCAATAAGTTTGATAATAAATAATAATTTGTAATCTCTGATCTATGTCCTATTCAACCGTGTCATAGAGCTCTTTAAAAAAATTTACACATAAATTTGATTACAATAATTTAACTTGTCATGTGACGAAAGATAGAATAGAAATAGATAAAAAAGAAAAGAAAAACTCCATCCTGAAGCTAGAATCAGTTCGGAAGAAAAGAAGTGATCGTCTACAAGACGATCACTAAAGATTTAAGATTAATAAATTAATCGTAAGTCGAAGTATCAGAGAAGTGAATTCGAGAAATTGAAGTGATTTTAATATATTTTCTACGACATGGCGAACACTGGTCTACTAGTTTTAACGAGTCCTAGAAAGATAAAAGGAATGTTGTTTCTAATCCAGAAGCATGTTCTGAAGACGTTGTACATTCAATACTTTCCGGAAAAGAATATCTTTGCAGGAAATTACAATTCTGCGACGTTACAGAGGAAAGGGTCTGAATTTTCTAAGAAGATTGCCGACATATATATGTATACTTCTCCAATTGCCTCCAGTCTCGACGTTCGTGTCTTGCTCACCAACCTGAAATATCCTGACAGATCTGTTATAAACACGAAAAAACCGGTGGAAGTGGTGATCTTTGATCAGAAGTGCAGTGAAAAGGAGGCGGACACGTTCATACAGGATCGTTTAGCAAACAGATCGCAGAACTACCGCTTTGTTGATTACACATATCTGAACCATCTTCTGTATCATGATAATACGTGTACAGAACATGATGTTCAGAATGTAAAAACTTACAAGAATGTAGTGCTGGGTGGCACATTCGATCGGTTGCACAATGGACACAAGATCTTATTAAGCGAGGCTGTCTTGCGTTGTACAGAAAAACTTACTGTTGGCGTGACGGATACTAACTTGATTACTGGTAAATTCTTATAACTTATTCAATTTAAGTCGATTTACTTTATACTATATAATAAGGCATTTGAGATTTACTTTATAGTATGTAATAAGGCATTTGAATAGTTTACAGATAAGAACTGTTAGATGACTTATTAGTATCATTATGTACACACAATGGTACAGTTATAAATTAAACAAATTATTTTCAGGTAAAATATTATGGGAGCTTATACAACCGTGTGCGCAAAGAATAAAGGAAGTTAAAGAGTTTTTGCAAGATGTAGATTCATCGATAACATATAATGTTGTGCCTATTAATGACATGTATGGACCTACTAAGGAAGATTCAACATTGGAGATGATAGTAGTGAGTCAAGAAACGAAACGTGGAGGTGATAAAGTCAATGAATTACGTGCGCAAAAAAATTTAAGCAACTTGGACATTTATACGGTAGAATTAGCAATTGATGAATCCCATAACAAATTTGAAGAGGCCAAAATTAGCTCTAGTAATCATAGAATACGATTACTTGGCACGAGGCTTCGAGCTCCTGTAGGTTTCCTACTGAGTATATACGATACACTGTAAAAAATTATAAAATAATTGTCATATGAGATTTTCTGTATATAATTCTATATAAATTACATTTTATATAAATTAATCTATTTCTTTTATTAGAGAGAAGGGAGGAGTTTACAACCTTATATTATTGGTTTAACGGGTGGTATTGCAAGTGGAAAATCCTCAGTTGCTGAAAAAATGCAACAACTCGGCGCTGGTCTTGTAAATTGTGATAAGTTAGCTCACGACTTATATTTACCTGGAACAGACTGCTTTCGTAAAATAGTTGAACATTTTGGCTCTTCTATTCTCAACTCAGATGGATTTATAAATAGAAAGCTGCTTGGTGACATAGTGTTTAATAATAAGGTATTTAATTTAGTCTCATATGCTACAGTATATATTATTGCATGTAATTTTATAGAGATATATATTTTATGTAGGAACAATTGGAAAAATTGAATACATTAATTTGGCCTTTAATTTTGGAAAAAGCTAAAGAAGAAATAAATAATCTTTATCACAAGGGTCGTCATATTATTATACTGGAAGCAGCAGTTTTGATTCAGGCTAAATGGCAGAATGTATGCAGCGAAATTTGGACTTGTATCATTCCACAAGATGAGGTTAGTCCTCTCCTTGTCTTACATATAAATCATATTTTGCCTATGCAAAATACGTGGTGATAGGAATTTATTTATCTATTATTTTAAATTTCCCATTTTATGACATGTATAAAGTATTTATAATTGTTTATATAATCTAAATGTTTTTATAAACTCAGGTTAAATATATTTATAGGCTATAAAACGAGTAATGGAAAGAAATGGATTATCTGAGGAAGCAGCGAAGTTACGAATTGAAATGCAACCAAGTAACACAGAGCAAGTTAAAGAAGCCAACGTTGTCATATGTACTTCATGGAGTCACGAAGAAACCCTAATACAAGTAGAAAGAGCATGGAGAGAACTAACAACTGATTTAGACAAACTACGAATTAAAGTTTGTCCCACAAATAATATGCAATCATTCCATGATATACATAATTAAAATATTGATACAATGATGAGGAAAATATTGGTAACTGGATGTATCTTTGGCTATAAATAACTACAACAGAGATATATAGATATATTAATAACAAGAGTGCTATTTTTTATCGTTTATATAATTGTTACAAAAAAATGAACATACTATTTAGCAAATAATATGTTGTCACTTAATATCAGTTTTTCTTCTTTGTCTTCGTGCAGTTTTGTCATTAGAGCACTTAGAAACAATCGAAAGTCGGTCTTTAATTTATCACCACCGTCGTCCACGTTACACTTGACATGAGAGACATTTGAGAAACTAGATGCTTTAAACATATATAATGTATAATATTTTAAAAATTAATTTATTTACAAGATTTCTTTATTTTTAACTATTTGGAAAATAGAGAAAAATCAAGGTTTTTGTTGGGATTGGATTATTACTCTGAAATACTTACAAATAATTTTCGATGCGCTTGATGTATTATCAGGATCAAAGAAGAGTATTACACAACTATTTGGCCCTAATTTAGCTCCGCTAACGAAATAATCATAATATTCTCTCAATTTTTTCGAAGAATCCTGCATTTTTGCGCTATATACAAGTATCACGCCATGTACATCCTTACGTATAGCTGGCCAGCAATTCTTGAATCTGTTGAAACCATTTTTATAATATCTCGTCTTTCATTCATTCAAAATTCAATTTTGCGAAAGCATATATGTTATTGTTTACTTGTGATTTCCACTGCAGTCCCACAGCTCGAGATCTCTCGAGATGCGCTCATTATTCATTTCAATATCATTAATTTCAAATTCTAATATTCGAACACCTTGAGTTGGATGATAATCATATGGAATTTCCGTAGCATCTGCCAGAAAATTCGCTATTGTGGTCTTCCCACTCTAAACAAGCACGGTGTGTATATACATGTAATTCAGTTTATGCATAATTTTGGCATAATTTGACAAAAGTAAGATTTAAAACATCTTCATCCTCTTTTATATAAATATTCAATCGATGGATGCTCTTACCTCGGTTGGTCCTATCATTACCAATTTTAATGGGTGCATTGTTTGACAATGTTGAAATCACATTGGTTGCAAGTATATTAACATTCCATTCCACCTGACTACTGTACACAACAATATAGAACGCATCATTGTTTGGCGATTGTTACTATAACGACCGTGGTCCCTGTTATGTATATGCAGCATTACTGAGAAAGCAATCACAGGGATATTATATGATTCGAATTAAAATTATATCGATTACAAAATTCATTAAAATGGCAAAAAAATTTTTTAATTTATATATAGAGCAAGTTGTAGAAAGGATTATACATATATTATTTGGTTAAATGAACGTGATGGATTAATTTGTTTTATCATGAAATAGAATTTAAAATGTATATGTTGTTTGTAACATATATTATTAAAGAAACGCTGTTTCTTAACCTGCATGACACGCGCGCGCGCCTTGCAATTATAGTGTTTATTTGAACATAATCCAAATATTTTAGAGTATCATAAAATATGTATGTACAAAAATGAATATATGCTGTTTGTAGAGTTACGATATTTTATTGAATACATTAATATTTAATACATTCATTACAATACTGTCTTCTTAACAGTATTTAACACTATGTAATACAACAATGGATATGTAACCATTGTCATTTTTATCGATAAACAACACATGATTCTAATAAAAATTGTAATTGGTTATTTGCTCATTATACTATGGAAGTACACTTTGCTATTGTGACGTAAATTATTCTGAGTAAAATTTTTTTTTCTCAAATGCTAAATAAAATTATATTAACCCTTAAATGCCACACCTCTCAAGAATCTCGTAAATGACACATGGGGTCTAAAAGACCCTAGCATGGAAAATGTCTCCTTACTCATTGATTTTTTGATATTTAGTTATGAAAATTATTTTCAATGTTGTTCAAGGCTTAGAAAAAAGAATAAAATGCTTATATTGTTAAAATTTCAATTTCAACATAGTATAAAAAATTAAGTAAACTGAGTACTGCTAAGTGTACAAACGGATAGGTCAATCACTCAACTATCATCAATGGGAGCATGAGCGGAGCATGAGCTCTATTTTGGGGGGAAACATTTGAAAATATATCGATGTAGAGGATCTGGAGTCCGCTGGACCCCGGGTGGCATTTAAGGGTTAAAATATGTTTATCAAAGAAAATTTTAAACATAATAAATTATAATTCTAACACGTATTTCATTACTCGTTTCAGCAAGTTATCGTGTTTGTATGATTGATGATAGAAAAAAGTGATAAAAGAAAATGTTGAATGATTTAATATCCAACTTCTTATAACATTATTTTTTCTGTATTCTAAATCTATTAATATGTATCAAACATAATATACTTTTTAAAATAGTTACATTAAATGTATATTATGTTATATAATAATAATTTTTAATTATGTATATATAAAATATATTAAGGATTAATATATTTTAATTTTTTTTATAATTTGTTGCATAAATTGATTCTCCTAAAACTGAAAATTATATACAGAGGAAATAACATCACAAGAAATTAGATGTCATTAGATTTATGAGTTATATGGCTCAATCTGTATATTTTGACATGTGATAACAACCATGTATTAAAAATGCAAAAGAATTATGCAAAAAAATTCAAGATTGTCAACCTGGGTAAATAATACAAGTTGCTACAGCAATGTCAATTCACTAAAAACAATTGGTGATATTTTGTGAATTAAATTAAATAGAAACCATCTGTGTGTATTATATTTTGACAAGTTGATATTGAATAAGATATTATTCACTTTAACCGATTGCCATTAACTCTGGTTTATTAGTATCCTCTGGGTAAGTCAAGTTATATAATGCCAATAATGCTGCTTTAGCTGCCGCTTTCTTGGCATCTTTCTTGTTTTTAGCTGAAAAATAAAAATTGTTATTTATATATTGTTAATAACAAAAATATTTCATAATAATTCATAGAATATATACATACCTGTTCCTGAATATTCGACTCCATCAATTTCAACAGCCAGAGTGAACATTGTATTTGGTGGATTACCAACACGGCTGAGCTCGGCATATGTTAGTCCAGGCCTCATTTGATTCAGTAACATGACTGGATGTATATTTGTAGGATTAGGTGGAAGTTCCTTTTGAGCGGGAGTTTTAACAGCATTAGGACTCTCTTTCTTAGTCCCTTTTGTAGTTGGTAAACCAGGTCGTGGGACTGGAACTGAAGTTCCCTGATTATGCCATTCAAGAAAAAGTTTATAAAGTGCAAAACTGGCCAATGAACTCCATGGTATCTCATCTTCAGAACTCGTTGTGTCCATAGCGTTGCTATCATCAGTATTTTCTTCTTTTATTCCATCCATAGATGAATTAGCTTGCCCATCTGATTCAGCATCTATACTCGCTTTCATAGATGCTGCTGTCATTTTTTCAAGTAGTAAAGCTTTTAATGCATTTTCAGCTGCATTTTGACGAGCAAGTGGTTTAGATAATCCTTGCCCAACGTAAGTTTTACCATCAAGCTATAAATGAATATTAATAAACTGTTTTAGAGAATAGATTTGACATAACGCATCATATTACATATTAAATAACATATATTGTAAGAATTATAATATAACATTTTAATTAAAATCATAAAATAATTACTTCAGCATGAACGAGATAAAGTGAGTTTGGCATGGGTCCTTGTGTCTCAGGGAATGTAAATTGGACTCCAGCTTTCATCTCATTTAATACCATGATTGCATTTTTGGGTTGTAAGGTTTTCCTTAGACGTTGGTTCATACGAAGACGCTTTAATCTTTTATTTACTTTAACTACAAAAATAGTTATGTTAGTAATCCATACATAATCCAATATGAATAATTAGAATTTATTTTATATATCAGTGGAGAAATTCACATTGATTACAGGAGAATCTATCCTCAATAATATAATTGATAAATTCAGTGCTCCTGAGAATCTTCAAATTTGCGCAGTGAAATGTCATCATAAAAAGGAAAGGACTTAATCTTATATTATTATACAAACAATTATATTGCTATAATTCTATTTTTTAAATTACAAATTCTTTAATTTATTTATGCTTATATTTATGCTTCACAGGATCTTTCTAATGCTATATAATTCTGTAATTGAAGCTCTATGTGTGTAATAATGTCAAAAAAGATGATCAAAATCTACAACTAAAACTGGCTGTTAATTACTTATATTAAAACATTAGAATTATATATCTTCGTTATACACTTTTATATTATACAGATTGTTCTAAATATTCAAATTATAATTCTAAAGAGATTACAGAGATGTACAAAATTATACATTTCTATAATCTCTCTATTTAATTTAAAAATACTTACATCCAGGTACCTTTCTTCGCCACCTTGGTTGGACATCTTGCAAGTCCAAATCTATGTTGTCAAGTTGTTTCAAACTGTCATCCGTAACATCAGAATTATTATTAGTAGAGCTTGGAGAAGAAGATAGCACAGAAGGCTGAGAAGTCACAGGTGTAGTTTGTGCAACACTAGCTGGCTGTGCGATTGCTGTACTCTGCTTTAAGATCGGCTTCAATCGCTGTGGCAATGGACTTGGTGCCTGTTGCTGCTGCGACTGTTGCAGTAGTTGTTGCATGGCCTGTTGGTTCATTGGTTGCTGTTGCTGTTGCTGCTGCGGTTGTAATTTCTGCTGCTGCTGCTGCTGCTGTTGCTGCTGTTGTAATGGTAACTTTTGCTGCTGTCCTTGTTGCTGCTGCTGTGATTGTTGTTGGGGCTTTTGAAGTAGTTTCGTAGATACCATTGGTGGTACTAGAATTGGCCGTGTTGATGCAGCCGGGATTTGCGGTGGCTGTTGTTGCGGTTGCTGTTGCTGCTGTGATTTGAATCCTTGTGAGTTTTGCATGTTGTCTTGTTTATAATTGCTTGGTGGAATGGACGTAGATTGCGATGCTTGGTAACTTCCTTGTGTATTATACTGTAAAACATAGGGTGGGTCGCCGCTACACAAGGAACCTCTACGGTTGTGCTACCCCACCAAGGTCTAGTATCGTATGTTAGAATAATTAAACGCTACCCCTATAGCTCATACCAACCATGTTACCTTTACTGTGGCCAACGTCTCTTTACTCATGACTGAGCTAAGTTTAAATGAAATTAAAAATATGCTATTAATAAACAATATTTTTTTACATAACTGATGTTTATAGAAAAGAAAATTAAAGAGTATGTTTTTATTGTTAAATTGGAATATATATTAAAAAGTATAAAAAGAGATCAGTAAAATATTAAATTCTAATATTAATATGTCATAAAATCATGTTGTGGATTTTGATGTGAATATTGTAAATTAAAGGATCTATGTGATCACTTATTTAAATAAACAAAACTAAGAATCAAGTATTTGACGCCACAAGTAGAATGCTTATAATAAAGTAGCATTTCTACCGAGAGTAAAATTTGCTTAGGCACGAGTTCAGCACGAACTACCAAGAAAACGGCCTACGGTAAGGTATGCTATGTGGGTAACTGACGACCTAGTCTTTGGTCGAATGCACCTCCTCGGTATTGTTGTATAGCTACTAGTACCTGCGTTGCAGGGAAGGGGACAGTAGGGACCACTAATTAGTACATGCAAATGGAAATCTTGTCGACAGCATATGGAATTTGAATTATGTATAAAAACAAGCATGTTATTATATTCTTCAATCTCACGCGCAATCAATATTTTAAGTCAATACTCGAAAAATGCTTATTATTTGTATAATACACTAGACTCATTTAAGTACATAACCCATTTGATATGACATATTTAATTTTCTTTATTTCTTGAAAAAAGTTTAAATTTACCTTAATTATGAATTATATTATTTTAATATAGGTAGACTTATGGTTAAATAAGTTTTGTTGTAAAAATTACATCTTTTTGAAGCATGTGTAATGTATAAATATTAACAAGTACAATACCAACACAAAAAAGATAAAGGAAAAGAAAGTTTTATAATAATTAATTATCATAGAATAAATAAATCTTATCAAATGACAAACAGTGAATATTATTTAAACACATTAGTTTTTAAATTTAGTAAGAGTGATAGACGGCCAATTTTTGAGCAATCAAAGAAAGACGTTAAAAAAATAAGTTAAAACAAACTTGTTTATCGAAAATTTAAAAGTTACAAAAAATTGTTAATGTTTCAAACCATACTTGGACTTTTTCAGAACATTATAACAAAACCCACAAGAAATTACATTAAAAAATAATAATAATTACATCCTACTGATGAAAGAAAATCGAAATGGGGTTTACATTCAAAGCGTTGGAATGATTAATCGGAAAGTCAAAGTTGAACATAATGATAAGTCAAGAATTAAAAAATAACCGAGATGTTAAAAGTAAGGTAACATTTCTATTATGAGAATTCGTCAAAAATAACTGTAATAACAAATACATTTTTCGTTGGAAAGCACAGAATATAAGTCCAAAAAGTAAAAAGAATTAATGTTCAGTAGGTAATATGTGTAATGATAAAAGGAACGTACAACAAACTTACAATTGTTAGTGGTAACTGGACAGAAAAGAAAATCAGTATGAAAGCCATATAATAAAATTAAAAAATAATCAAGCAAAGAAAAGAGACTTACATATGTGATCAAAATTTAACGAAGAGAAATGATACAAAATTCTTTATCTAGCACAAGTATTCGACTAGTGCGGCTGACTGAGAGTAAAATGTTCGTTAAAATGTTGAATGAAAGTCACAAATAATCAACATGTTATTGCTTATGGCTAAAAGGTGGCAGGGCACCTTTTAGCAATAAACAATAACACATCTTGATTATTTAACGAACATTTTACTCTCAGTCAGCCGCACTGATCGAATACTTGTGCTAGATATAGAATTTTGTATCATTTTTCTTCATTGAATTTTGACCACATATGAAAGTCTTTTTTCTTTGCTTTATCATTTTTTAATTTTATTATATGGCTTTCACTGATTTTCCTTTCTGTCTAGTTACCATGCACTAAGTTTGGTCATAAGTTCCTTTTATCACCACAACATATAACCTACCAAATATTAGTTTTTTTTTTACTTTTTGAACTTACTTTCTAACGAAGAATGTGTTTACAACTATAGTTACTTTTGACGGATTCTCATAATAAAAGTGTTACCTTACTTTTGACATCTTATTTTTTAATTCTTGATGTAAACTCCATTTCGGTTTTCTTTCGTCAGTAGAATGTAATTATTATATTTTAATATGATTTCTTGTGGTTTTTGTTATAATATTCTGAAGATGCCTGGTTTAAAAGGTTAACAGTTTTTGATAACTTTTCAATTTTCCATAAACAAGTTCGTTTTAATTTATTTTTTAACGTCCTTGATATTTGATTACTTAAAATTGGCCGTCTGTCACTCTTATTAGCTGTTGCTTTCATCGAGCGTAATATAATTTCTTTTATTTTTAAATTTAGCCTAAATAAATTTTATTAATATTTGTTTTCCATATTTATCTATGTAGAATTGCAATACGGAATTTTTTTGTTTTTATAGAATAAGAAGTATATATATATCTCTGATACAATTATATATCGTCTATGAATAAACAATACTGCCTATGTGACATTTTTTTTTAAATGCACTTTTTGGCTTCGATTATTTTATATCATCCATTCCATATCATCATTTTACAGGGTAAGGTCGTAAATAATCACATTTATTACAGATGAATTTCATTGTTCATTCAAGAATGTTCATTACATAGATAGTTGTTGTAAATTTCACTTTTGGCAGTTTTTTGTCTTTTCTGAAAACTTTACTAATTATCAGACGGTATTGTTTATTCATTGGCGATATATATAAATAAAAAAAAATATATTTAACAATTCATAAATAATTGCTATTCCTTAGTAGTTGCTTTTGTAATAATATATTTAACCATGTATGATAATGATATATTTACCGATTTTTATATTTTTGAAGAAAAATGGGAAAGCTTTTTTAAAAATAAAATTATAAAAGATTGAGTAATTTAACCCTTAAATATACAGGTTTCTGTGAGAAAAGTATTATTAACCATATATGCTTTTGAACGATATCCATTTCACATAAAAAAGATGCAGAAATAATTTACCGATTTGCTCAAACTTTAAAGAATATTATGTATAAGATCCATATATTGTGTTATAATGTACTATATATATTATTACATATAACATTATATTGATAATAAAATAGATATGGTATTATGCCGGTAAAATGAAGAAAATTAATCTATTGAGATTTCATGGAAAATATTTTAATCAGAAACAAATTTTTTTTAAATCAAAAACATAATTTAGTTTTAATGTTTTCTTCGTTAGTAAATACATCTATATTTAAGGGTTAATTACATATAACAACGTTCTTAAACCATTCTTTCTGTATATCTTTTACAGAATTCTTAAAGCACTTGTCTAAGCTTTTATTCCAATATATAAATGAAAATAATTTTACAATGGTAATGTCTGTGCAACTATTCCTATTTTTTTCAAAAGCAATGCCTGTGCTCACACAGTAAAATAATTTCAAATCAGAATTACTGCATTTGGCTTACATTAATTAACATTGCGCGGACACCGTAGGCCTTTTAAGGCACAGTTGATTTTTCATTTGATTCCCATGGAAATGGAAAAAAAATTGCAACAGTTCCGGCCTGTGTAAGTATAGAAATCACTTTTTGAAACCTTAAAGATGATACATGAATTTTATAGATTCTTTGTAATACAGAAACCCTTTCAAAAACCCTTCGGAGTTAGTTCCAAGGTATCCCTCAGGGTGAGTGCTCCAAAAAGATGGTGTCCACGCAGTATTAATAGACCATCTTGCCTATTTTTACTTATTATGTCAATATAAGATTGTATATCGACATAATCATATGTGAAAGTATATAGCCATAGATATTGTCAAATAGATAAAAAAAAAAGAAAAAAGAGAGAAAGAGAAGACTTACAGGCATTATGTAAGATCCTTGGCCTTGGCCTTGGCCTTGGCTTTGGCTCTGGCCTTGGTTTTGGCCTTGGGGATTGTTTGGATTTCGTCCTGCAACGCCGAATTACTTGTTAATACACGATTAATACACTACAAGCATGACAGCATAACACGTGTGAATTACGAAAATTTCATTCAGTTCTCTCGGTCGAAAGAGAGAGAGAGAAAAAAAAAAGTTTTCTGTCGGGATATCAATGTCAACTGAGCGCGCACGCAAGTCGCACGGTCAATGAACGTAATATCTCGGTGAATTGCGTCGTCGCGATTAGTAAATAGCGACGTCACGCCATGTTCTCGAGCGCTGCAACGCGAAAGCTCACGGATGACCGCCATTTCGCACTAACCGGCGCGTATTGATTTTTTTTCCCCTTCGCGAAGACTCCACTTTCGCAGTTCACTACTTATCGCGTTGATCGCGACGCGACGCGATGCGACATACGGGGCTACACAGACCGGGGTTTTCATTATATGACGAAAATCCATACCGTTGCCGTAGCTCTGGTTTTGCCTGCTTCGTGTGTACATCTCGATCGGAGCAATAAGCGCTACGCGGATCGCCGACGGTCAAAACTCCAATTCAGTTGGCGACGTGAAAAACAAAATCGGTTGGCAGAGGAAGCGGGGTACAGAGCAGTACGTTTTAACTCATGCAACCAGCTGCTCAACACTACTATTCTTACGTGTGTGGATTAATTCAGTAACACTTCATAGCATACTCGCCGCACTAGTTACCGTGTCATGTAGGAATGGGAAATGACGCCGGTCGCTTGCCGTCGCTTGGAATGTCGGAACTCGGAAGTAACGAGTCTGCCATGTTGATTCTCTGTCGCGCGGCATATACGACACGCGTTTTCAAGACCTCGCTCTCAGGTCAATTCATACTGTTGTACAAAGTTATTAAATTGTGTAAAATGCAATTGTTATTTCATTGAATTACATAATAAAATACTACAATATAGAAAAATAGTAAAATAAAAGTGACTTTCAATTTAGAGATGTGAATAGACATGTAATTTAACATAGATTTTAATTATTTAATATCACGTGCTAATTTTAATCGTTCAGAAACTATGAACGTTTTATATACAAGTCTTCGTGCTCGGTCACGATCTTAAACTGTCCTTCCTATTTCTAAATCGGTATTAGAATTGATATCATCATTTTGAATTGATCATAATTAATATTTCACAAATATAGGATTGAAAAAATTGTTCATGGATATTTTAACATGTATAATTCTATTATAATTTAGAATTTATTTTTCACATTATATAAAGAGCAAAGAGGCACGTTTAAAATTTTTGTTGCACTTTTCCATAACATTGACAAAAATTTGAGATAAGAAGCATTATTTAGAAAAAGAAATTAATAAGCATACATTTATAGGGTAAATTATAAAGATTTTTGCATTTTTATCAAGAAAAAAAAAACCCAAAAATATATAAAATATGAAATATTGATATAATATAAATTAACAGTTAACAAAATATTAATGTATTAGTATTAGCCGTTTACAAATATGATTTTTTCGCTTAATATGTTGTCTCAAACTCTTTAATTAAAATTTTGTGTATCTTATTTTCATCGTATACCTAAAACTTAAAGATATAGAGACATTATCTAAATGACACTGAATAACAGAAATGTCGTGTCCACAATTGCATTGTATATTGTACAAAATTCATATATTGATTTCAATCAAGTAAAGCATACAGTTTTCTAGATTCAGAGTAATCCCTCCATTTCTTGCATAAATTGCATATATGCATCATCCTTCGTCTTAGGTTGCGTTGTTCTGAGTGGCTGCGCTTCCGGTAACCTTTCTGTAATCCTGGAGATATTGCTGGATTTCTTCTTATCGTCTCTCTTCACGCGCAAAGACGTCGGTAAAAATCTAGTAACGTCAGCAGCCAGATTTCTGATTTGTGGTTTTGCCTCGATAGTGGTGGTACTTTTTCCATCTTTGTCCTTTCTGTTGATTAGCTGTGGCGCAGCGGAAAGAACATTGGGTGTCTTGGGTTGTGTAGTAGTTCCAGATTGCGTTTGTATCTGAGGATTTGCTATATTTGACATATTCGACATCTGCATTTGCGGCAATGGCATTCTAGGTATACTTGGAGGTCCGGGTCTCAATATTCTCGGCATTCCAGGTGGTGGACCTAAAAGTGATCATTCATATCCTTATATTATCTCATTTGTGTGTATATGTATAAAACTTAGATTTACAAGTCGAATTTCTATTAAAAGGTACAAACTTTAAAGTAAAAAAAAGTTTAAATAAATAAATGCAAGAAAGAATTTAAATATATCACCAGGTGGTAATCGGAGTCCGATACGAGGTGGGGGCGGCGGTGGCATTCTAAGGTGCAATGGCGGCGGAGGTGGTCTGTAAAGCAGAGGTGGAGGCGGTATGCCCATCGGTGGCATTGTGCTATGTTGTTGTGCGTGCTGAGCATGGGGATGAGACGAGTGTTGCCCATGACCAGAGTGATGCTCCGACGCCCCAGGCGGTTCTACCTCTTCGTCTTCTCCTTTATTATTAGATTTATTATTGCTAGACTTAGCATTGGGTTCGTTTTCCGTCTCGAGCAGCGACAATCGCGCATTCAGATCTTGAGCGCGCTCGGTCTCCCTCTTCTTGTGGACGACTTCCATCTCTCGCATAAACTGATCAATATCTTGTCCCGCCATTGCCAACATTTTCTGCTGCAATGTAGTCGGTTTGACTTTTGCCATATCTCTGTCCTTCTCTTTCTCCTTTTCTATATCTTTTTGGTTGTTCTCTGACTCTTGTTTGTCTTCCTTGTCATCGGCGAATCGTATTGTTCTCGATTTTGCTGGTGGATCTTTTACCTGTTGATTTTATAAATATTAAAATTATTTTCCGCTTATAGCGAGACAGAGAGAACAATTGTTAATTCACTTACATTTTCAATTGTATCTTCATCATCGCTTGATAGTTCTGGAGGTGGAAAAGGTGGTACACCAGGAGGCTCTTTATTGGGTGCCAATGTAGGCACAGATGGAGAAGCTGCATATGCACTGGTCTTTTTTAATATACTTGGTGGTACAGGAATATTCATTATAGTGTGGTGTTGCGATATGTAATGAGGATGAGGTGGATATATATGCGCAGGTGGTTGTGGCATATCTGGTAAGGGAATCTGTGATGTTAAGGAACCTGTGGAGAAATTTACTACTTGTACTAAAAATACACTGTAAAATTGTACTATAACAAACCATATATTAGTTGCATGATTTTTCGGAATAATATCTAACTATATCTACCTGGGTACATCCTGGATATGTCATTAGCAGCCGATGGCAATGGTATTTCGTCAACTTGCACTTGCTGCGCATGCCGCACAGCTTCAAAATAGGAAACCAAGTCTATCCTTCTGCGTTCATATTGTATCAACTGATCCTTCAGCTCTGCCCATTTTTCTTGATCGTCCTTTGCCTAGAAGACAAAAAAGATAATACGCTGATTATATCATGGTACAATCCAAATTTCAATTTCTTCATAAGCTTACCAATACTTTATTGAAGAAAATTTACTATTACAGTATTTATATACTTACATACATTTTTAAGACGCGGTCTAAAGTTTCCTTAAGTTTCTTTCGTTTGTCTTTTAATACTTTCTCATTCAAGGGAGGTGGTTGCATTACGTTATACTCTAAAAATAAAAGAATAAATATATAGAAATATATCACATTCATATATACATGCTATATTCTAAAAAATTGAATAATCTCTAACCCATTTGATCAATCTTCTCCATCTCTTCGATAATCTGCGCTGGATCTTTGCCTTTCAAAACAGCCGCTCTTACTAATTGCCGTTGTTTTTTATTCTTTTTTAATTCCTTCTTACGCGCTTCCTTTCCTAAAATTTAAGAAAAAATATTAGATACAGCCTCTCATTTGAAGATTGTGCTTTCTTAAAGATATTCTTTGGTTAGACGCTTGGTTATGTTCTCGGTTACTAACGTGCTTGATCAGTGGGATTCATGTATTTCCCACTTTTCGTGGTGTTGATCGAACGACGCCCCATTTTTCACAGAATTTTTTCTATTTTTCGTAACAGTCGGACCGACACTGCGGCTCAATTAATTTCCGCAAAATCTCGACCTTATTTGACTCCGAAGAGGAGCGCCCAGTGCTCTAAACTAATGGTAGTCTTGAGTCTTGATTAGAAAACTATAACTTTAATCCTACGGATAAATTGCAGGCAATTAGTGCAATTACGGAATGCATCGCTACGAGTTGCTGCACCAAGAGCACACGGCAGCGGAAAGTCTTTTATTTAATTTTATAATAAAATATTCGAATTTCTGACAAAATCAGTCTCGAACGTTTTTT